TAGCCCACAGGGGAGAGATCTGTCTCTCTTCCTGATACCATGAGAGCTGTGACCAGACCAGCCTCTAAGCCTTGCCCTGGACAGCCCTCACTTTCTTTCTCAGTGAAGGGCAGTTCAGGTATGGTGATAAAATCTTGTACATGTAAAACTTATTGAACTTAATTCAAACATTCACAGCTAAATCCCATAGCTGGAGGTGTTGCTCAGTGGTAGAGCATTTATCTAGAAATACAAGGCAGTGTGTGCCTTCCCCAGCACCCCAAAACAAACAGTATCATAAAACAAAGAAAAATAAGGAATAAAAAGAAAAAGAAAAAGGATAGAATGCTGAATTCCAGAGGAAGCTCAGTTCTAGAACCTTCTGTAGGTATAATGGCAAGTATATGTGTTCAGGTGGCTTTTGAAGGTTCTAAGGAGACTCAATCTGCCTTCAGACTATGGGGCTATGGTGGTTTACACAGTAATGCAATCCTCTGCTGCAGGCCTGTGCTGGCACTCTGAGGTCACCTCTAAGGCAGGTTTGGGCTCTCTGAGTCACAAGAATGAACCTTGCTTCTCTCTGTGTCCCCAGTGAGCAAACTTGGATGTCTGACAGGGCCTGCCTTCCCAGGATGGGCCAGGGTAGACTGATCAGAGCGAGACTGCAGGGAGAGCAGGCTTCCATTGGCAGCCCAGCTGCACAGCACTGCTCAGCGCTCTCTCTGTCAGAGTCAGCAGGCCCAGGCCTAGGAAGACAGTGGGCTGGCAAGACTGCCTGTGTCTGTTCCCAGCAGCGGGGCACAGAGAGACAGGATCTGGGGCAGTGCCTGAGCCATAAAGGACTCAGGATGGTTCTTTCCTGGGAAGCCCCTTCATGCCTTCCCTGGACACCTGGTGCCCCAAGCACAGGGCAAACGCCTGTTCTCAGCTTCTCCAGGCACCGCAGGAGCAACAGGTTTGCTTTCCACCATCCCTGCCTCAGATTTTATGCTCTCTTCTGAGTTAGCTTGATAACTCCTAAAGATCCCCCAGTACAGTATGTGGGTAGTGATGAACACTAGGATTAGGGTTTTCTTTCTTAACATAAAAATTCTGAAATGGGAGAGCAGCTCAGTGGTAGTATTTGCTAACATGGGCGAGCGCCTGGGTTTGCCCCAACACTGAGCCCACGTGTGTGTATGTGTGTGTGCATGTGTGTTTATGTGATTTTGCTGGAGAGACCCACACTTGTGCTTCCTAATTTCTAGTTAGACATAAAAGTTTTAACGCTAAGTACTCACACTAATAAGAAGCTCTTGCTTTTCCTTCTGCCGCATTGTGGCCTCTCTCCAACATGAAATGTGCTTTGTTCAGTTTCCAAAGAGAACCTGTTAAAAATCAGACAATATGTCTTTTTGCTCTCTAATATTCGTTTTTTATGTTTTTGTTTCAATGCATATTGAATTTTGTGAACACGAATTTTACACACTAACATATTCATCTCAGTCTCAAGTTGTTAAGATAAATGTTCAGCTGTTTATTTCTATGATAATTAAACTTCTCAGAATGCAATTGCCAAGGAATACATACAGCTCTAAACTTGAATCTTTTTTTTTTAATTTTTATTTTTTTGGTGTTTTTGAGACAGGGTCTCCCTGTAGTCCCAGCTGTCCTGGAACTCACTATGTAGACCAGGCTGGCCTTGAACTCACAAAGATCCGCCTGCCTCTGCCTCCCAAGTGCTGGGATTAAAGGCGTGTGCCACCACGCCCGGTGAATCATTTTTATCTTAAATCAGTTGGTGCCAATAATGCTGACTTGTGTGTTATTTTCTTTGACCCCTGTTTGAATACAGCATTGGATCATAGTTTCATATACAATAGCTGAAAATGCTGGAAATTCAAATAAATTAATTTATGACATAAAATTTAAATTAACTGTACCTCAGACCTGGTGTGGTGGCACATGCCTCTAATCCCAGCACTTGGAAGGCAGAGGCAGGTGAATCTCTGTGAGTTAAAGGCCAGCCTGGTCTATATAGTAAGTTCCATGTGAGCTGGGACTACCAGGTAACCCTGTCTCAAAAAGACCAAAACATTTTTTAAATTAAAAAATAAATTAATTAATTAACTGTGCCTCACAGGGATAGGAACTAAAGTAAGGGAGAAGCAAAATAAGTCAGTGGACATTTCCCACCATGGGGGCTGTATGCTCAGTGGGGGTGCCTGCTCTCAAGGGGTCCTGTGTTCTGAGTGGGGGTGGTGCTTTCAGTGAGAGCCTGTGCTGTCAGAGGAAGTAGGTGCCTAGTAAGGACACTTGTTCTCAGGAGGGGTTCCTGAGCTAGGGGGTCCATGTTCTCAGTGGAGAAGTTCTACAAAGCAAGCTGGACTTTTCCATAAAATTTAGGGTAAAACCTTTTTGTTTGTGTATTTGTGTGTGCTATTTATGTGTATATTGTGAGGTTTGTGAAAAGACCAGGACCACTAGAGACCACTCTGAGGCAAGAAAAGAAGAAATTTATTGGGATGGACAAGCTGCTGGACTGCTCCCACGGGAGAAAGGGAGCAGTGGTTTCTTGTCACGGCAGGCTGGATTTGATAGAATTTTTTTCTTTTATGGGTAGGGGGTGGTAGGACTGTAGCAGGAAGGGGTGAGGGGGGAGTCAGTAGCACGTGCCTTAGTGGGAGGGGTGGTTAGGATAGTTGGGTGTTTTTCAGTATTTTTGTTGGCTGCAATGGAAAATTGCTTTTATGATCAGGGTGCATTGTTAATACAAGGATCAAGTGGTTACTGAGAAACTGATAAAAGTATCAATAAACCCCATAAACTGTAGCAGGAGGCCTCCAAAGATGGCGCGGACCCAGAGCCCTGGGATTCAGTGAGAATTCACTTCACTTCTTGTCCACAAATAGGCCGCCAAAAGGAGCCCACGCCTCAATACCCTGTTCTTCGCAAACCCAGAGACTGCTGACAGACTATGCGGCGCCGACCAATCAGAAAACCATACTCTGACTAAAGGGACTTGGGGGAGGAGAAAAGGGAAATATAAGGCCTGCCCCCTCCTGCGTTAAACGAGCCTGCAGCACCTTGCCTAGTGCTTGCTTCTACCCGCCTCCCAGAGTCTGTGTGTCCTGACTCCACACCTCTTGCCCCCCCTAATCGGCAGGGGACCCGATCCAGGTTAGGGTCTTCACAGCTGGCCTGAGAAGAACCCGCAACAATAAACTAACTGGTCCAGACTATGAAAATGTCTAGTCTAGTTGTTGGAGGACCCATTTTTCCAGTCTTACCTGGTGCTAGATCCACTCCCAGGAATCCAGGTTATGCTAAGTTGATAGGCAGAATACCTGGTGTGTTAATTAAGTAGAGAATATTTCTGCCTAGAACTAGCTCAGGCCCCTGCAGAACTTCCAGACCAGCCACAGCCATGTAGGTCTCCGTAAGTCTGTCTGCTTTCCTGAACTCTTCAGGAAAACGTAATTTCTCCTTTTCTTCTTCATGTCTTTCTTACTAAACATGCTTTCTTTAAGGCTTTGGGCTGCCCCTAGCATCTTGTAGTTCTTCACTTTTTCTCTAAAGCTTCCTTCTCCCATGGCTGCAAGTCAGCCACTTGTCTGACCTCTATGCAGGCTCTAAGCTTCCATGGCTTTCTTTCCTTCTTCCCACTATTCACCTCCTCAGGGCAGCTGCCAAGATTACCAGCTTGCTAGCTCTTAGGATTTTTCTTTAAAATTCTAATAAAATTGTAAAAGCCTCTGTTTGGGTCCATTCTTAAATTCTTTTTGAGACTAAGAACCCTCTAGGGGACCCTCTTTCTCCCCGTTTCAAAACTAGGATGATTTAATTTCTGTTTCCCATTGTTGCTGGTCAGTAGTGACTCCATCTTGGGGCCCAGTTTGACCTAACATATATCTGTGTATATGTGTGTATTTCTCTCTCTCTCTCTCTCTCTCTCTCTCTCTCTCTCTCTCTCTCTCTCTCCACAGGAGATTGAACACAGGCCTCATGCATGGGAGGCAATTACCCAATTTCTGACTTACTCCTATTCCCATCTTTGAATATTCTGATTGATGTAAACCTCATTAATGAGACTGATAAAAAATATCAGTCTTGACCAATTCATTTATCTGTTCAGGCTGTACCATCATTCCCTAGGCTCTTTCTCTCCCACATCTTATTTGTTTACCTGAATAACTTGCAACATCTGATTGAACGCCCCATCCCACCTGGGTTTCTAGCCAGGGCTTCTGTCTAGGCATGGTGGTGACTGGTCTGTGGGGAGCTTATGTTCTGGAAAGGATAGCTGAGAAATTTCTGATTGATGTAGCCTGTGACTGGCAGACAGATGGATCAGTAGGCCCCTTTCACTTCCACAAAGTTCTTCCCAGGTGCTTGGTCTCAGACCCGGGTTCAGGTTAAGCAGAGGCTGCAACAGGTGGTCAGTGTTTTGAAGATTTTGTTGCTTGGAGATGGGGGAAGCTGCCTTGAGCCTCTTTACAGTGAACTAACACCCCACTCCCCTCCTGGTCTCCTTTTCCACTCTTCAGCTGGGAAGACTTCCCCCTCTGTGGAGATGCGGTGAGTCCCCAGACCCCCTCCAAGGAGCTGATTGCTGCTAGAGAGGAGGCAGGTGCTAAGCTGCTTGTCCCCAGCCCCTCCTGCCTTCCTTTCCTATCAACAATGTTGGAGGCCGCTGCTCTTTGCCAGAGCCAGGACAGTATTCACCCCACTGTCCCTCTCTCACCGGCTGAGGCTAGTGGAGAGTCTGAGGGTGAACAGTGGAGTTCAGGATGCCTCCGCTACTAAGGCAAGGAAGGAAGATCCAGGTGCTCAGAGTGGCTGCTACCTGGGAGGGGTCGCTTGTTCGAAGGTCTCGATCACACATGTTTAATGTGCACTCGAAGACATGAGAGAGGGATTTGAGGTTGAACAAACCTGGGCTCTTATTCAAGTTTGCCTCAAGAGACCTTGAAATGAGGCTCAGAAAGCAAGGCAGGCACTTCGTTGAAAGTATTTATTACACAGCATAAGGGTTGGTCATTTTTTCAGTCCATGATAGAATAAGTGGATTCTATTATTTACAACATAGAACATTCAAGCTGATGCCCATGGCCCAGCTTTCCCATGGGGATGCTGTGGCACCATGTGGAATCAAGGGTGACTCCGTACAGCCCCAGGAGGAGATTCTATCACTGTAGTAGGAACCTCAACCTTCAGCATCCATGCCCCTCAGGAGGATGCAGGGCAACAGGAAGAGCAAACTCAGAACTACACAACACAAGGATTCATCACTTGTCCATGACAAACTGAATGATTCCATTATTTACAACATAGAACGTTCAAGCAGATGCCTATGGCCCAGGTTTCCCTCCAGGATGCTATGGCACTGAATGGAATCAAGGGTGACTCCTTGCAGCCTCGGGAGGAGATTCTGTCACTGCACTTGGGAACCTCAGCCTTCAGCTACTATACTCCACAGGAGGACGCAGGGCAGCAAGAAGAGCAAACTCAGAGCTCCCTGTGCCCTTGGTCGACTGGCCCCTGAGGACAGAACTTTTTTCAGGTCTGGAAAAATAGATGGAAAAATCATAAAGTCCATGGTTACAGGCTTGGTTAAGGAATGAGGTAGAGATGTCTGCATCCACTCCCACTAAGGCCCTTTTCTGCCTTGCTCTGGGCCCAGCCCCTCTCTGGGTGGCATCCCCCCAGAGCCTACACACACAGCTGGAAGGACCCTGGGGATCCCAGGGCAGGGAGGGTGTGCCTTTCTGTCTTTGTTTAATCCTTTTCAGGATTCAGTGGTAGAGCACTTACCCAGCACAGGCAGGGCCCTAGGTTCAAAACAAACTAATAGACTCTCTAGCCAGAGACACCTGGACTTTTGTGGGACACAGAGAGCTGAAGGCGAATGGCTACGTTGTCTATAAAGGCCAAGAAACAGCCCTTCAGCCTCATCATTCCCCTCATGAGCAGGATGGGGAAGCCTATGGCAGTATCTTTGTGCCTCAGTCAGGACAAATAGAAGTGATTTAATCAAGTACAATAAAACTACGCAGCTTGCAGTCATCTGTTGCACAGATGGCTCAGCCTTCCTCCTGGATTAGTTCTAACACTACTTCCTTGTGTCTGTGTATGGGCAGATGTGTGTACCTGTGTGTGGGTGCACGTGTGGGCATTGTTATGGAGGGCAGATGTCACTCTTGATGGTCATTCCTCAGGCACCACCCTGAGTTTAAGAGGAGGTCTTCCTATGTAGCCCCAGATGGACTGGAACTCACTATGTAGAAAAGGCTGGCCTCAAACCCACAGAGATCCACCTGCCTTCACCTCCTAAGTCCTGAGATTAAGGGTATATGCACCACCACACCCAGCTCCACCTTCTGCTTTGAGACAGGTCTCTCCTTGGAACCTAGGGCTCACAGAGTAGGTATGCTGGCTAGCTAGAGTGCTTTGGGGATCGTCCTGTCTCTGACTTCCCAGTTCTGTGATTACAAACTCCAGTGAGTACACCCTGCTTTATTTATTTATTTATTTACTTATTTATTTATTATTTGTTTATTTATAATATTTTACTTCTGTTTATGCACATGTGTGTATAAACAGAGGCCAGAAGAGGGCATCAGATCCCAAGAAACTGAAGTTACAGGAGGTTATGAGCCTGATGTGGGCACCGGGAACCAAACTCTGGTTCTCTGAAAGAGCAACAAGCCTTCTTAACCACCGAGGCACCTCTCCAGCCCCTTCACCCTGCTTTCTATATGAGTTCAGGGATCAACTTCTAGTCCTTATGTTTGTGCAGCAAGCCTTTAAGCCACTGAACCATCTCCCCAATGTCTATGTCTCTGACTTGGGACAGCACAGTCTCCAGGAGGGAGCAGCCATCCCTGAATCCACATCATTTACTGAGCATAGCACTGAGCACCGAGTGCTGAGTCAGGTTCTCCCATTGAGACATGATGATCTAAAAAAAAAAATCATTGGCCATGAGCCTTGAACTCATGACTCGGTCTATTTTGCTTGCAACTGTCATGACTGGATTCCAGGAGGCATGACCCCTGGCCCCCTCTCTACCCCACATGGCTCCTCAACTGTAGGCCTCACTCATCTGAGTCCTGTATCCCAAGTCTGGCTCTGCACATGTCTGGAACCCCTGTCTGGGGTGGTGGGGCCTGGTAAAGAACTTGGCTAAAGTAACCAAAACAATGGATTATTGAAAAAGCCAACCCCACAGTCATGGTGGCAATTCCCCTAGTCTCACATCAAGGCCACATCTGGACATTGGTTTGGGCTGGCAGGGGGAGCAGACAGCTGAGGCAGGGCCCAACCACAGGAGCTTCTCCTTTCAGCCTCTCCCAGTGCCTAGGCCACCCAGGACAGGGCAGCCACTTCTGCCCAGCCCTGACTGCTACCTGATGTGAGCACACAGTAGTGGACACTAAAAGGTTGAGGATGCAGGCAGCAGGTTGGCAACAATGTACTACTCCTGTTCACAAGGAGGCTGCAGTTAGATTGGCCCAGAGGCCAACTCCACATGGGACCAAGGAAAGGCTCATTTTAGTCCTGAGTGCCCTCTCCCTTTTTGCTCCACCTTGGGACAGACGGTTATTCCAGGGTGCCAGAACCCCAAACAGGGCCCCTCCTGACAGGTGCTCACTTGTTAAGGTGTTCAGCAGGCTGGGGTTGGGGGATGGCTCAGGTTTAAAGAGCTTGTGGTATAAGCAAGAGGACTAGAGTTTGAATCCCAGCACCCATGTAGTAATGTTGACCCATCTGTAATTATGGCCTCAGAAGGTGGAGACAGGATCCTGAAGCAAGCTGGCTGGGGAGTCTAGGGGCATGGGAGAGCTCTGGGTTTGGTTCAGATAACTGTACTCTAAAGAATGGGTGGAAGAAAGGCTGCTGAAGATTCCAGACACCAATCTTGAGCAAACACAGGTAAGTGCACACACACTCATGGAACCCCACTCATGCCAACATGCAAACACACAGGCTTATCACACATGTAAACACATAAAAACGGTAATTCAGGTGAGAATAGGATCAGCCATACTGGGTCAGAATTCATCTCCTCCTGGGAGAAAGGAATGTTGGGGAAGGTTCAGGCCCCCTAGGCAGTTGCTTTTTATACACAAACTCCAAGTCTCCAGGTACACGTTATAGCCAGCTCTGTGAAAGTCAAGACTTTAAACCAGGGTCCCCAAACTGCACCTGTGAGCACTGTGGTTTGTGCCTTTCAGGCCACCCCAGGTCACCCATTGTTTTTAAAGAGAAACATTAGAACTCCTGCTATACACTACAGAAAAACTCAAAAATATGTTTTATTAGTATTTATTGTCTTTACTAAATCTGTGGTATTTCTTACTCTGTGAACCATTACTATTTTATGTCATGCTAGGAATGAAAATCTGTGCTACTGGTAGAAAACTTACTGCTGTCACCTGGGATCTCATTACATAATTATCAAAAGGTCTTTTAGACTTTTGGACACATCAGAGACATTTGTCACGTCCATTACTTTTGTGCATATAAGACAAAATAAAAATGAAAAGTTAGTCTTCCTGCACCTGCCAACTGCATGTCTCTACCCTGAACAGACAATGGCCTCAAATTAGTATTTTTACTGTTGGAGGTTTTGGAGAGCACTGTGGGCAAGGGTACCATCATATTTGATTGTGAGCCAGGCTTGGTGTCCTGAAATCTCTGATCTGATGTCACCTCTGTATATACTGAGTCACATGGCTTCCTCTTATTCCCTCAGCCACAAGAAGTATGCCCGCCAAAAGGGCTTCTCCCATACAGCACATCTCCTGATGGCTGGACATGATACAAGATACACTCAAGCTCAGAGCTGCTTAGAACCAGGTACCTCTATGTCTGGATTTTGGGTTTTACCACAGGCATTTATTCATTCCTTTTTTTTTTAACTTTTGTTGTTGCCAGGAATATTATTTAAAAATTGTATTTGTAGCAGCATGGCCTGGTTCTATCTCATGCTCAGATTACCAGACCATCTTTTTTTTTAATTTTTTAATTTTTTTATTGTTTTTTTTGCTAGAGATTAACACCAGGGTCTGGGGCATTCTAAACACATATTCTTTACTGTGCTGTATACTACTACTATGACACACAGTTGGTTTTTCTCTTGTGGTTTTTGAGGTAAATTCCACCTCCAGCCTGTAATTCGTTCTTGGTGCTCATGAGAATTTATTCTTGATTCCTGGGGAGTAGTGTAATAGGTGGAAAATCAGCTGACTCCAACCTGAGCAGAATTCCCTGTGAGGTGAAAGCATTTCCTTGGGGTTGGATCTAAACATGGCCACGTTTTCAAAATTCTTATTTCAAAATTCTTAATAGAAGCATAAAACGCTCTTCATTCTTTTCATACTGAGAATCCTTCTCGGAGGGAAGACAGGCAGATGGCACAGTGGTTTATTTACTAGCAGTTATTTACTAGCAGTCACATCCCTGAGCTTCAGTTTCCTCAAACACTAAGGCAATGATGTCTATATCAGAAACTGTGATGGGAAATACACGAGACAATGGGTGAAAAGTGCCTGAAATACACTGAGGTAGGGGGATACAGTTTGTGCCTCTCATCGGTCACCCTGCTGGGACACCATGACCATTTCCATGAGCACAGTGGTCACTGGTGCTGTCACTTGCATTGCAATTTGCCCAGATTCTGGTTCATGGGTCAAAAACAATACACCAGGCTTCCCCTGCAATTCTGACTCTCAGAATTTATGTCCTCCAACCTCAGGGACACAGGAGCAGCAGCTAGTGACTAAGAGACACAAACCCAACATATAGGGAGAGCCTGGGAGATAGAGGGAAGCTCAGGGAGCAGGAGGGCATTTGGAGGGGCATACAGGAATTTCTGGCACTGTTGGTATAACCCAGGAAGAGGGGAGAGTGGGGTGGTCAGGTGGGGCAGGAGCTATCAGGCACTGAATGTGCTCTTCCACCAGGTCCCTACCAGAGCCACAGCCAGAGGGTGGGAGCAGGAAGTGGAGCTGAGGAGCTTCCCTACTGAATCACTGCCCTTCTGGAGGAGCAGTAGGAGGAGAGGAAAGTGCGGTGAAGGACTGTGTAATCATTAAAGTGCCCCACTCAGTGGAGGGGGTTCAGGACTCCCTGAGGGAGGGGCAGAAAGGTGGGGTCAGGGATTTCACTTCAGGGAGTGTCCAGTGGACAGACCTCAGTCAAACTCCCTGAGGACTCCCTGAGGGAGGGGCAGAAAGGTGGGGTCAGGGATTTCACTTCCGGGAGTGTCCGGTGGACAGACCTCAGTCAAACCACACAAGAATGGCAGAGGCAGAAGTGGGCACTTAGTCTGAAAGGCAACACCTTCATTGAATGTGCCCATCACCAGGAGTCTAGAACAGCTCCTGCTAAGAGAGGGAAGGTTGGGGCCTAGAACATTGGATTGAAATGTGTCCCCCTCCAGACACCATCACAGCCTGACCCTGAAGAGTCCCTTCCCCATCCAGTGCCTTCTGGAGTCAGAGCTGAAGAGGGCAAGGTGTTAGTCAGTGTTTGACATCGCTAGGGATTTAGTCAGCTAACTTGGCTCCCAGGTGAACTGTGCTATGATCTCGTAGCTCCTGAAAGTCCAATGCACTAGAAACCGCAAATCAAGATAAATCCAACATCCAGACACGGAAAATGTCTACAACGAGAGTGAATTCGCTCAGGATTCACAATGATTACAACTTTGTTGAGCTATGAGTTGATTTGGTTTGTTCATTTCTATGTCGCCTGGCACTAGCAGACGCTTGCGTCCCCGCCCAGAAAGGCCAGAGCGCATTCTCCTGTGAGGCAGATTTCGGGGTGCTCTTACCACAGTGGCCCGGGGTCTGGCGGGGAAGGCAGTGCAGGGCGGCGAAGATGCACCTGCAGAGGCTGCAGCCCCGCAGGGTCCAGGCTCCGTGTCCCAGGGCGCCGCAGTCCCTGGGGAGGCAGGGGCGGGTCAGTGCGGTGTCAGTGTCCCCCGCGGCCTCCCGCGCGTTCCCCATCCCGCCCGCACCCGCACCACCCACCTGCGCTTCTGGTCGTGCTCGCAGTAGCGGCCGGTGAAGTGCGCGGGGCACACGCAGAAGCTGCCCAGCACGCAGGTGCCTCCGTTCCTGCAGCAGCGCGATCCCGGGGCCGCACCTGCAGGTGACCCTGGTCAGCTGCCCCGCAGCCCGCGCTCCATCCTTCCCAGCCCCTGAGGGGACCGTGCCCGCTGAGCGTGTTTGCGTGCCCGCTGAGCGTGTTTGCGAGGTAAACCCCACTCTAGTAGAAGGGTTAAAAACAAGCTAGCAGGAATGTGGGCGGGACCCGGGACAGCTCCTGACACCCTGCAAGTTGCTTTCTCTGCCCCTTGGAATCATCAGCTGAAGTTAACTTGAGACTGTGGGCCAGTGATTAAAGGCAGCAGGCCTCCCAGGAGGGGGACCACCCACGGGTGAGACGACAGCCAGCCTCACCCCACTCACTCCCCAATACCCCAAGGATGCTGAGCCTGGAGCCCAACTGTCTGAGAGAAGCCTGCTCAGGGTCCCCTGGTCTCCTAGCTGTAGAGCAAAGGAGTGGGTTTTCCAATGAAGTAGTGAAACTCTTCAGAGTAAACTCATCGCTAAGTGTTTTTGCTGTGGTGGTTGTTTTGTTTGTGCATGTGATTCCTGAATGGAAGGTGAAAAAACGTTCTTGGCGGGTTTCTCATTTCTGCCCTGACTTATCCCACTTAGTTTTTCCGGAGTCCACTGGTCCAGATCTCCTCACAGGATGTGCAGCGACTATACTTACTCTCCTCTTCCAAGGCCCTGGAACGGGCAGGGGACTCCTGGGGCGTCCAGCCCTCCTGGCTCCCATTCTCTCTGCTGGAATTACTCAGGGTCCAGTCCAGTGTTGTCCTGGGCGCTGCGATATTGCTGACAGCTCTGCCACCTTCCTGTTGCCCTCTCAGACAGCCTTCCAAGCACAACGGAGTAAGAGCCGATAGGGCCTGAGAAACTGGTATTTTAACCACCCAAACCCAGACTGAATAAAATGCTACTTACTGTTTCCCAAATGTATGATCTGCAATGCCGGGATGATCACCAACAGAAACCTAGAACATTTAAAGGAAATTATTGGAGTTCAAACCTAAAACTCCTGTAAGCAAAAATTAACACAAGTAAAATGCCATGCAATCATTATAGAAAGTATATAGCACAATTATGACAATGAAAATAAGTACAATGCAGTCACTTTGGCACTTGTAGCTTTTGATGTCCCTGATGAGGAAGGATTTGAGATGGAGAGCACACACTACCTTCAATAAGAAGGAGCAGTGGCCCTAGCACTGCCATTTAGCTTGGGAATTGTAAACCCCTTCTGGTTCTAAGAGTTGGTTGACTTCTGTTCTTACCTGGCAGGAGGTCTCCCTGTCATTTTCTCACAGACACCTAGGCTTGGTAGGGGCCTTTCCTCTCATCTCTGTATTGAATAACCATCCACGGAGCCCAGTGTGAAGAATTTCAGTCCTGGAGGGATCTTTCCTCTAGGGTTAGAGTCACTGCATCAGGTCATAGAATGCACAAGCTTGCAAGACAGCAAAGTCCCTGCCCTCTCCCTGGACCAGAAGACAGGGCAGAGGTGAGATCTTTGAGCCCATGTGCTGAAGCCTTTGGGCCAGGCCTGCTCTCCAGGAGCCTGAAGGGCTGTCTCTCAGTGAGTCCCAGCTGGAGAGGGGGTGGGGACAAGCTGACTGCCTCCCCTGCACTGTTTACACTATTTACAGTGCTGATAGCAACAGGGTGGCCAATCTCTGATGTAAACCATTGGGGACCAAGACAACAAACTCTTTACCCTCACTGGGAAACAAACAAGCAACTTAAAAGGCTGCAATCCCAACACACCAACAACAAGAGAGTGGAGAGTTTCTAGTATAATGTCTTTGTACTGGGAGACTTAGAGCTCCCTCCCCCATAGAGGGGAGAGGATCTGTGGACATAGCAACAGAGTGTGTGCATATGTCCTGCATGTTGGGGGGGGGCCTACAGGCCCTGCTTCCTGAGTGGTCTCCCTCCATAGAAGAAGCCTCTGCACTCTGTTTTACCACAGGACTTTTTTTTAGGTACAATGCTGTTCCCTGAAGAAAAAGTGAGGCTTTATGTGGCAAAGCTCTTTGGCAGGTAAATCTTAAAAAACACAAATGAGGGGCTGGAGAGATGGTTCAGTAGTTAAGAGCACTGACTGCTCTGGCAGAGGACCCCAGTTCGATTCCCAGCACCCACATGGCGGCTATGAACCGTCCTTAACTCCAGTTCCAGGGGAATCTGCAGCCCTCTTCTGACATCCGTGGCATTGCATGACATGGGTGCACTTACATACATGCAGGCAATACACTCATACACATAAAAATAAAAATAATAAATAAAATACTTTTTTTAAAAAACCACAAATGTGCAGATGTGATGATGAGCCCACTGGGGCCTCTGTGCAGAGCCTCTTGTCTCCGGGAAGAGCTGCTGCAAGCTGCAGCCTGAATCCCAGGAGGGAGTGACAAGGGGACCTCTCCAGGCTCAGCTTTTCTATTCCAATGGCAAACTGACCTGTGACTTTAATATAGACACTAATTGTTAAAAATAGTACAAGTATTCTAAATTTGAAATGATGTTTGGCACCAACTTGGTTTATTTTGCCTTTAAACATGACCTGCAAGATAGAGGCTCTTAAACAGGAAGGGAAGATGAGTCTCAAGCTTGGAGCCTCCCACTGATAGTTCTGTGAGCTTCAGGACCAGGCTGGGACTGGAAGTTGCACTTGGGAAAAGCTTGCAGAGAGAGAATAGGGCCAGAAGACATCTGGCAAACATGAAAATGCACTTTTAAACTTAATGATTAGTACTCATAACTACATAGTTCAGTTCCATATACAAGATATATGTGTTTTATAGCTTTAAGTCAATGCAATCTTCTGTATGAGCTTAATGATTGTATAGTAAAAGGAGCATCCATTAGCTAAAGGAAGAACTGTATTTTTCTTTTTTTGCATAAACAAGTTTTCAAATGATTCATTGTACAGAATGCAATGGGAAGGCAAGTTTCCTGATACAAAAATGTTAAAGGGAATCCTTACTTCACATTATTACTTTTACTACAATTTTTATACTACACATTTCCAAACATATTCAAAAGCTGGGAAATTGATGCAATCAGATTCACCAAGTAAGTGTCAACCTTGCTGCTCCTATTTCCTCCTACACTGCCTTTCCAGACTTTGTGACCGCCCATGTGTCTGATAAGGGTGTTTTGTATTGTTGTTTATCTGAATTTCAGCATGCAAAACTGATCCCAGGGCCTTGTGCATGCTAGCAAGAGCTAAGCTACTTAGTCACAAGCCCAACTTCTGAAATAAGGCTTTGAAAACCTACACTTTATTAATGGAAAACTGTAGATAAAAAAGAAAAAGAAATTATCTGCCTCTAAGACAGGAATGAGAGGCAGGAGCAGCCATGGCATGGGGATGCCCCATCTCTAGTGTTTGCTTAAGATCCAGGGAGCTCTGAGGAACATCAGAGGGGAGGCCCTGGGTGACAGAACTGCTGATAAACAGGTTCTCACCATACTGTCACTTGCTCTCTAACAGGCCTTTGCTGCCCAGGCTGTGTCATTTACTCCCTATGAAAAGAGTTTGGCATGTCACCTCAGACAGAGCTGCTACATGTCTGCCACCAAGGAGGCCCAGCAGGCAGGAGGTCCCTGGCAATGGCTGATTGGGGGAAGGGGATAGGTTTTCTTTCTTGTTATCAGTTGTAAAGAGATAAGGCTGGAGCCACCAATCCAGCCTCCTGTGGGACTTTCTAATTCATATGATGTGTGGGAACTGGGACACCCATGCCCTGGCCGGGACTACACATCGTGCCTTTCCTGTTCTCTGTACCCCAAGGAATCACCGAGGAAGCTCTGTACTGCAGAGTAGGTGTGCAAGAATTCCCTGAGCATGGCCTCAAGGTCCTTGGGGTGAGAGGGGAGGAAATGTGGCTTATGCACTCTCCAAGATACTTGGGGTAAGCTGCTTTCTGTCTAGCTGATCTGTTTCTATATGCTTCATGGAAGTGAAGCCACACCGTGTTTTTCCTTTGCCTTCTTTTTGAGCCACTGAGGACTGAGCCAGGGCCTCCTGTGCCAAGCACGTACTCTTCTGCCCATGTCTGTCCTTTTGCCCCATCTCTCTCATTTCAGGTATCAGAATGCCGTGCAGTTTCCTACATGTTGTATTGTGCATCAGCGCTTACTTTATTAATGACTATGTGCCATCCTATGTCTATCAGCATACTGAGTGGACTCTTGGTTGTTCCTGCTTTTTGTAGAACTCAGAAGGAAGAGAACTGTATATATGCCAGTGAACAAAGCCTGGGGAAACCAAACCCGACAACATGATGACCTGGACTTTCATCCTCCCAGTCTGTGGGCTCTTGTGGCAATCTGAACTGGCTAAAACCCCAGATTTTACAATTTCCCACTAAAAGAATTATTTTGGTGCTGGGGATCAAGCTCAGGGCCTGGCAATCACCAAATCCATTTGTATACGGAGCAACAGCCCAACCATGTTTTCCATTATTATGTTAGTAACAGTAATTTCTCCCCAGTACAGGTTGTGTTTCTCCCTCTTGCACTCCTGAAATACAGATTCTCCTCAGGATTCTTTGACATTCATTTTCATTGCCAGAAACAATCTTGCTGACAGCTGTCTCAGTAAGCAGCATTAGTCTAACTGATGCTCTTTAAAGGAAAACTAAACCTGGACTATTGTTGGATTGATGCTGTTGGAAAAGAATAGAAACTGCAGAAAATTACATCAAACAAAGCGTGTCCAATAAAAGCCTGTGTTGTACAAACATGAGAGAGGTGGGTGCTGTGTATTATAAATTATTTATAAAAGTATGAGTACCTGGTGCGGTGCAGGGCCCTTGAGAACAATTTTCCCCTCAGCTCACTAGCCTTCTCTCATTCTAGGAAGTGCTTTCCCTTTCTTTCTTTAAAATAAGATTTATTTTTAAATTACGTTTATATGTTTGTCTGTATGTGGGCTTGCAAGTGAATACAGGTACCCCTAGAGTCCGAAAGAGGGCATAGGAAGCCCTGGACTGGAGTTTCAGACAGTTGTGAGTGCCCACATGGGTGCTGGGAACTGAGCTCTGGTCTTCTGGAAGAGCAACAAATACCCCTAACCACTGAGGTATCTCCAGCCTCTGCTCTACATTATTCATAAACTGTCTCTGTTTATATTTCTAACCCTGTGCCGCTGGGATAATTCTTTTCCCTGGGATCAAAGGACCTGAAAACTTCAGGGGGCACCTGGGGACTCAGTGTCACACCTATAATAACCATTCAGGCCCTTAAAAAGTCCAGTTCAGTCTGAGGTATTTATCTGCATGAACACACAGTGACCAGCTCAAGTAACAGAGAATCATTTCCTCAAGTTACCAGGTTAACTGCTCAGCTCTGTTCTCCAGATGAGGACACTGGGCTAGGCTTGTAGTTTCTAAACCACACAGATGCACTTGCGTACCCATCCACACACATACACACACAGACACAGACACACACACACATCCATTGACACAGACACACACATCCATCTTCAGATTTATGTTATGTAAGGGGGACCTAAGAATATAGCTCACTGGTTAAGAGCACTGGCTGCTCTTGCCAAAGACCTGGGTCCAAATCCCAGCACTCACATGGCATCTAACAGCCGAGTATAGTTTCAGTGGATCTGACACCCTCTTCTGTCCTCCATGGCCAGTGCACAACATGGGTGCCCTTACCTACACTCAGGCAATACATGCACACACATAAAATAAAAATAAGAAATAAAAAATTGTTTAAAAATAAAAAAGAAATATATTTTAAGATACTATTTTTATTAATTCTTTGAAATGCCTTACATTCATACAATGTATTTTGGTCATACTCATCCCCATCATTCCCCATAATTCCTTCTACATCCACACCTCACTTCCCTATCCTTCCCAACTTCATGTCCTATTTTTATTTTTTGATTTATTCACTTTTATTTTTATGTGTACAAACATTTTGTGTGCATGTACCTAAGTGTACCTGTGTTGCACAATGCCTGAGGAGGCCAGAAGAGGGCGTTGAATCCCCCGGAACTGGGGTTACAGATGGTTGTTAGCCACCATATGGGTGTTGGGAGCCAAACCCAGGTCCTCTGCAAGAGCAGCCAGTGCTTTTAACCACTGAGCCATTTCTCTATCTCCCTCTTTTTATTTTTGATAACCCACCAAATCTAATTTGTGCTGATCATATACTCTTAGGTATGGGGCCATCTATTGGAACATGGGTGACTGAAGAGGGGCCATATCCTTAATAAAAACTCTCCCTCCACCATAAGCCATTGTCTGCCAATAGCTACTCAGCTACTGGTGTGGGTTTGTTAATCCCTCAGCCATCCATGCTAGAATATTAACTGGCTTGATCTTCTTTAGGCCTTACGCAGGCAACCACAGGTGCTATGCATTCACAAATTCATGGGTCCTGTATGTCTAGAAGACCCTGTTTCTCTCCAAACCTCCCAAACCTCTGGCTCTTATAGTCTTTCTGCTTTCTCTCCCACAATGACCCCTAGAAATATCTTAATACATAATCATAGACA